ATTTACTCGGCTGTTTAGTGAATTAGCAGTCGAATAAAATTTGACATTTGTGTTCCAGTTCTTAATCGACTTAAGAATTCAAGTAGTTAGAAGTTAATATCCATGCTCTTATTGTGAAAGTATGCAGTTTCACTTCTTCTTCTTGCAATTTTTTTGTTAGGAAACTTTAGCAAGAAATTGGCAAGTGAACAACAGACAAATCAATGAGGATACACAGAAGAACACCAGAGGTATGTGAACAAACCACCACGAGTGTTAACTAGATAAATAAAATTAGCACAAAACTTTTCAGAGCCTCCTCACGTTCTCCTTATGACACATGGTGGTTATGAACATAACTGAATTTAGTGTCTTAGCGGAACTAATGTTTATAATTAGTGCTTTAGCTAATCATACTAGCTAGTTGGCGTTGCTCACTGCTGATCATTATGAATCAGGATTTATATTTACATGCACTCCAGGTACTCTGTGCCCATGTAATACCAGCCGTCCAGGTCCAGAACTCTGTGAACAGTCTTATACAGGCTGCAGCTCGTCAGATTGTGTGAGCAGCTTGGACACTTGAGCCTGTAATGCCACATCCTGACTGGAGCCCACAGGAAGAAGCGGCGCTGAAAGAAGTCATTGGGCGAGGTGGGACGCTGGCTGTAGGTAAGGGACGGACCGGGTGGGTTGTACCACAACTGGAGATTGTTTGACAGGATGAATTTTCCTGTGGCATCCCTGGTGAACAGGACCTTGCTTAGCCAGGCCCTCTGCTCCGGAGGAAGGCTAATCGGCAGCGACTCACCGGACGTCTGTAAGAAGGCAACAAATTAAAATTCTACGGTACATTATTGAACCTATATAAAGGATAGCATGAACAACAAAATTAAATCTTGTTGTAGCCAATTATTAACCTTTTGAACTGATGTGAAAATGTATATTTTTCCCCACACACAAACAGTTTATGTAATCAGCTATTGACAGATTACGGCAGTCCATATTAAGCTTGTGATTAATGGCGGACTAGCCACTTTTGTGGACAGTTACTATTGAACAATATCCAATTATTGTCCAACAGTAAGAATACATTTTTTGAAAATAGTATTTGAAAATAGTATTTTCTGTTGAGTAGGCATTATCCAATCTATATATACACACATGAGCACAACACTTTGACCTTTTTGAATTCTGCAGCTAAAATTAACCAAAGTACGAAAAAAAAATAACGACTAATAAAAATCTAAACTAAGACTAAATAATATTTAGCTAATAATAACAAGCAGGGACACTCTAAAAACTAATTAAAACTGTCTCAATTAGATAAAAAGTCACAATGAAATAAAACTAAGCTATTAAGAAAACCCCAAAACTATTATAAACATTGTTATAACACATAAAGAACAAGCATGAATGAAAACATGGATGAATTAATACATGAAGGACTGAAAGGATGGAAGGAAAAAGAAAATAATGGCATGTGTAAGGATGGATGAAACTTAGAAGGAAATACAAACATTTCTTATTTTTTTCCTTCCTTTCTCAGACATGGGGAAAAAAAAAAACATAACAAAATCCATAATTTTACAAAGTAATCAGAAAGTCTGGCTGAAGATCTACAACACTTTTGCTTTAAAAACGACCCCCCCAAAAGAAGAAAACCAACCTGTGCTGCAGGACAGATGATCCTAACACGACGCGCAGCAGCTGAAGAGGGCTGCGCTGTGGGATGTGATGAAGGAGGGCGAGTTGTACTAGATGCTGTGAAGCACACGCAGTAAAACATGGTTGTAACTGTGAAGTCTGACACTGTGATAAAACTTGCTAGTAACTTCAACTCACATCACCTGAAACCAACTCTCTGGAGGTTTTGCTGGACAGGGCAGAACCAGACCTTTGCACTCTGTCCATTGTGAGGACATACTGTTTCAGCTTTCCGAGCTGAGAATCGGTTTTCCGAACCCGGAGCCTCCTAAGGAGTTCCCTGTAGCTAAAAGACGGAGACACAGACCTCTTATCAAATACAAAACCACTGATTGCGCAGCCATTGTTGCAGCAAATACTAGAAATGGTCCCACCTGCGTATTTTTTGCTCTCTGCTCTCATACAGCTCCCTGTAGGTGAGGGAACTGTGTGTGCCAAAACCTACCAGCCGGTTACCCAAAGCCTCCATGTCCTGCAGCACAACCTGTGGCTTGGGTGTCATGGGAGGCTGATTCTCAGTTGTCTCTGTGTTGAGCTGCTGAGCGCCCCCACCACCAGAATAGCTCACATGAAGCTGAATCTGAGAACCAAGAGGCAAGAGTAAAAACCGAGGTGTGTACATTCTGTAATGAGGTGGGGGGGGGGAGGGGGGAAGCTGGGAATAAATCACAGTGAGTTATTTACAGTGGCTCAGTGACAAAAATTAACAATAGGGGGAGCTCTACATCATTAATTCATACAGTGTGAACCTCGCATAATGTTCTCCTTCCAAGAGAAAATATTCTGAGGTCAACAAGAATGTTCTAAAAATCAGAATTTCAATTGAAATAGTAGGACTCGGAGATTGGTATTCAATATGAATGTAACAAAAATGATAGAAAATAGCACCAAAACGTTGTTTAACGGCGAATGCTCAAGTCAAATATCCAATTTCCGAAGCAACTCGAAGGCAGCATAACATGTTCTTACTGTGCAAGGCACGAGCTGCAGATGTTATAAAAAATAAATAAAAATAAAAGCTAGAATTGTCATGGTGAATAAAATACATTTAATAATAAACACTTATTTAACTTAGAAAACATCATTAGGTTTCGCTGCTTCGCCGAACTCCATTGACAAAATAGCGTTTTTAACATAAACCACGCTCTGACACTTTTTTTCACCTCGTAATAAAATATGACACGGTCGGCTAAGGTTCCATAGACAGTCCCTGACAAAACGGCTAACATTTTCAAAAGAAAAACGAACAATAAATTAAGTTTTAACGAAAAACTGACGCCACAATGGCTACTTACTGCGCCAAGAGTCCCATCCACAGACGTTCCTTAATGCATTTTCTTGGCGTAAATGATATTGAGTTTACCTAATGACAAAGCCAGCTGAGACCAGCAAGTAAGAATGCACAACTTTTGCACGACTGACTCAATTGAAAACTGCGGCTTTGAAAGAAATCACCTAAAACGCCTGGAAAAGCGCCCCTGCACGACCACGTGACGTTTTTCTGTCACGTGACCCAGCTTCAGAATGGCGATTGTTATTTTACTCGTTGACTATATTGTTACTCTTTTTTATTTATTTATTTTTTAAATAGTAACATGCACGACAATTCAAGCATGAAAATAATAACTGTTTGTTCATAACGTGTGTTCTGCAAGAGTTATACCCTTTTTAAGGGCATAAATGTTTGTTTAGGCATCTATTTCAGTATATTTTACAGTGATTATTATTTGTGATTATTATTTTTGTCATAATCAACAGATCTTTAAGTAACTCGCCTCCACAGCCAGCAATTCACACTTTAGAATACGTCACAACAACCCCCCCCCCCCAAAAAAGAAAAAAAAAAATAATTTTAGCCACACGTTTGGATCGACAACCACGGAGTAATTAGTTCCAGTTACTCAGGTATTTCTTTATAGGTTTTCAGAAACCTTAATGGCCCTATTAGAGCTATTGGTCAAACTACAACTTGTTTGACCGCTCTCAACCAGCGGTGGATAAAGCAGCCAGAAAATGTTCTAAAGAACGCTATTTCAGAATATTTTATTCTAAATTGAAAGTAAAAGGCAACTTTTAAAAAAATATTACTAAAGTTGTAAGAGTAAAAGGATTTAGTGAAATGTAATATCTGATTTAATTTATAAAAGTTATTTAATCACAAACAAAAACATACAATCAGGTCCACATTTTCAAATTTTAATGATGGAAAAAAAGACCTGTAAAACTAATATTAGCAAAAATTGAAGTCAAAGAAGAGCAAATGTCCAAATCTACATTTTTATATCATAAACTTATTGAAATCAACACTAAGGAAGGAAGGCAGAACATCTGATGGAAAAATACAGAATGAATGGCATTAACACTTGAATGAAGTCTGGAAATTAAAACGTTTTTGTCTGTCCACTTATTTTTGGATTTTTTTACTCACTCAGACCTGAGAAAATACAATAATGCAATTCCATATTTTTTCCCAAGAGTCCATAGAAATCCTGAAGTATGTACCTTCAATTTAGCTGAACAAGCCATTTTAAAACTGCTTTCTTAACATAGCTTCACAAAATAAATGTCAATTGTCAGTGCAATATCAGTGTGAGTATAGGATATAAATCAGAAAGTATTGCTGGAAGGAAATGTGGTAGAATGTTACAATTCAAGCATCGTGAACCTACCAGAAGATAAGTCTGCTGTACTCTTATTAGCTGAGATGCTAATAAGAGTACACAGAGTAGTGGAAACATTTTGTAATAGCAAAAAAAGTCAGAAAATTGTGGGTTCCTTGCAGTTGATATTGGTCAGTTTTCACCAATATTAGGGCATATGTTTCTGATATAAGCCAATATTCATTTAATGTAAACAAATATCTGTTTCATGCAGATCTATTTAGCAGCAGTTCTTTTGGGGTTCTCCGTTTCTGGTGACCTTGGTGTTAAACTACAGGAAGGCGGGAGAGTACGCCATGGGTTCCTCATTAGCTTTTGCCCTCTGGCATGGTTAATACAGTTGTTGAAAGTATAGAAACTTTACATCATCACGGTCAAGTTTATTAATTTCAGCACCGCTAGCATCAGGAATCATCAACATTGTGTGGCTTTTCCTGTGTCTCTGCCGAAAAAAGCAAATTTTTAACTAAAACATGTTTGGAGATAATTGCTTTGTTGCTCAAGTTTCAACCATCCTTTATTGGCCAAGTGAGCTGTGGCAAGAGAAGGAAGGCAGTTAAGTGTCCTGTGTGAAGCTGTGTGCCAACGTAGGGAGATGAAAACGGCTCCGTTTCTATAGATTTTCAGGTGAATGCGTGTTGACTTAAGTATTGAAAAGTTCAACAACCCCTATTACAATCGCAGAGAGGCCAGCCATTCCTCTGGACTCTTTCCCTTTGCTTCCCGGGGACAATAGTTCAGCCTCTTCCCGTCTGCAATTCTCAGAATTCTGTGACCCGTCTCTTTAATTTTCCGATCCCCACAGCTCCTGCAGAAATTGATGCAGACAGATTTCACTTTCAGCATCTGCCCCCACTTTGCTGCAACTTCCACCTCTGGGAGACGTGCTTTCTTTTTCGAAGCCGTGGACTGTGGGGTATGTGTGGTGAAGTCGGGGACTTCAGCATCCCCCACCATGGAGATGCTGGTAGATGGAGCAGGAGCAGGAGAGGTGTGTGACGGTGCCACTTCAGGGTCTTTTGCAGACACCAGTAGGTTCTGATTGACAGAGAAGATTCTCGAGTCCATCTTAGGCTCCTGGCCAACCGGCGAGGACTCCACTGATGTTACCGTAACCTCTAGTGGAGCCACAGCAACCACGGGGGTGGTCATCTTGTCTCTGGGCATAAATCTCTTGTGCCTGGGAAGTAAAAATAGAGCAGTTGACCCACATCACAAGTAGTCATTTTATGAGATAAATGACAATGAAATGCAGAGAAATGCTAATCGTACCACTGAGCGGCGGTCACCTGGTTGATTGCAAACAGATTGAGGGTGGTCCTGGATCGGAGGGTTGGATGGCTCATTACCACGTTTCTAATAGAGTTATAATGCCTCAAAACCAGGGACCATCGGTATATTACCACACCCATGATCCTCTGCAAGGTTGGGTGAAGGATGGAGAGTTCCTTAAAGATGGCCTCCACCAGGCGGCTGGCGTCGGGTAAAAGGGACATAGTGCCGTCTGTTCCTGTGACACAGCTGGCAGCAGGACTTCGACCCCTACCCCTAGTCGGGGAATCTTTTTCTTTAGAGGGACAAGCTACGGGTCGCTTATCGTCCTCCGAGAGGTTCATCCAGAGATGTATGATCTCTTCGACTTCAACATTGGTGATGTAGCCCTTTCTGGCAAACATTATTAGCCTTTGAGCCAATCGGACCACATGTTGGTACCCAGGGGCCACGTCAGGTCCCACCGCCTCCTGAAAAGAAGGTATGAGGTTTCATTCATGAGCTCCAGTTGGACAGAGTGGCAGAGAATAACCTTAAGAAGTTATTGCCATTATTGACAAATACAAGAAAAAAAATAATTTGAATCCGAAAAGCATCCAGCTGAAAAGTACGCTTACTTCCTGGAGACCAGGTGCTTCCTGGACAGGCTCCAACTGAGAATCAGACACAGGTGGTTTCTGAGGTGCACTGGACTGCTGAAGTAGAGATGGCTTAAACAAAGGGTCGAAACAGGCCTCAGTCACCTCATCGAAGCCCTCATCCACATCCTTGTGTAAGACATTAAGAGGCCAGTCTTCCTCAGACATGACTTCATCTGGCAACTTAATCTCTGAACAGTCTGGCTCCTCTGGGTCATCTGGAAACGCATGCAGCTTTCGACCAGTTTGACTGTACAGGTAATTTATCCCCATCAGTTCCCCTTTGAAGAAAAGTACAAAACAGTGAATTTAAGTTTCCAATGTATCCAAATGTTCAATGCAGGATGCTGTCAACAAGCGTGGAAAACCCGTTAAACAGTTTTTTGGGGAAATTATTCAGAAATCAGGCACTATTAATATTATAAAACCTTGTGTTTGACATGGAAGTGATGATTTTTCTTTAAAGCAGCTGCTGGGCATTGCCAACCAAAAAGTTTGTTGCACCAACCATAAAGCACTTTACCATTAACGTTCCGATAATGCTAAAGTACTTTACACACATGGTTTTTAGCAAAAGCTAGGGCGCTAAAATCCACCGTGTGTCAACGACGACATGTGTTATGACACAATCTATTGCTCTCAACCAGGAGAAATTTGTTGTTGTACACGTTTCCGTACAATCTACAAGTATTTGGCCAAAAATGAAGATTTTTTTTATTCCCTTTTATATTTTTCAGTTCTGAGATTTGAATCTCCTGATTTTTAAAATTCCTTGAGGCAAATGATGTGCTTGGAGGCTTTAGTAAATTATGTTTTACTATTAGTGTTCTGGTCGGGTGATTATTTGCATTTCACATTTTGCGACTGCTAAATGCTATGAGCAGGTATTTTTGAGGTTCGGTAATAACCTGCAGGACATTATCGTACAACATGCACAAAAATCACCCATGCACCTGACCTACACAAACTCAGCCACATCCCCAACGCAAGTCAAATCTATAAGATTACAGGTAATGTTAACCTCTGGCATTGTTCCATCTCTGGTGCTCAGTGTTACCTGTATACAGCAGTGGTTTGGTCGTCTCAGGCAGCGTTTCTCCCAGCAAATGCTGTCTCAGTTGGTTGAGTTTCTGCTTCTTGAGCTCTGTAGAGCTCATACCCATGGTACTCCCTTCACCTGCTGCCACCCGAGTCTGGTCCTGGTTCCAGCGCGTTAGCGCCTGCAACAGGTACATCTGAAAATGACAGTCATTGGCAGAAGTGTCTGCAAAAGAAAGTAGAAAAAGGTCTTAACACCAGAGTGGCAGAATTGGAGAACAAGCAGGAGCAAGTTGTGAGCTGTCTTCTACCTGGAATAAACCTGTCCAGGTAAACATAGAATGACTCGAGCGACTTGCAGCCCCGGGCGCAGCGATAGATGGGGAGGTCCACCCCTCCTTTGGTCAACT